TGAGGGACTCGTAATCACCAAATGAGGATGAGGAACCTCGGGACCACCTTGAAAGCTTATCGTTGACAAGCCTAAAGCATTCGGAAGCATTTATCTAAGAAAGTAATTAAACATTTAATTGAGATAATGGTAACAAATAGTATCATTGAAGACTCATTTAAAAGCATTTGTGGGAAGAAGTTAGTTCTCATTAAATTGTGAAGAATTAATATTACATCAAAAAGCTTCCTGAAATCTCTTTGCCCCTGAAACATAAAAGGAACCGAAAGACTACTCTACCAGTTTTGAAACAATGACGATGCATAATATCAACAATCAACCAGGCGAGGGTATTATTCATCAAAATGAGCCGATGCACATGCGTTTACCTTTGGGCTCATAATCAGTGGAGAAACAGTAATATCAGGAACTCATCTCACCCACACACTAGCAGTCTCATTTCCATTAGCTAAAGCGTCCGTTCCATTGTTACTTGTGTGAGTGCACTTGGCCTTAGAGCACACTTTCATTTCGCCAAGCGGACTAATGTCTCCATTTGTACTGCAGGAAGCACCTCCCTCCTCTACCACCATCTCCTCGTCATCCCTCTCAAACTCGGCAAGAAAACCTCCTCCACGGACCTGCTTCAGCGCATCGTCAGTCTCAGTGATATTGGTGCAGAAGTTGGCTAACGAGTTCGCTGTTCCTCCATATCCCTCAGCACCATTGCTGCTGCTACCGCTTGTCGGGCCATGAAGCCTGGTAGAATCTGAACAAGCAGCTACACCTACACCATTGCTAAGGACGGCGACATTGGAGTTGGTAGCATGAAAGTCCGGAGCAGTAGTGGTGCTTTGACCATAAGCATAGAATGTTGATGATTCACAGTCCCACATGTTGGCGTAAAAGAGCCTCTTAGAAGTGCCTGCAGCACAATATAATACAAGTGAGCAATAGCAGTATGAGCTTCTACTAAAGAAACTTCTAAGCCTATTGTGTACGTGTGCGTGTGTGCGCACGCGCGCGCGCACTAGAGGCCCAGAAGCAAGCATATCCGTCCCCGCCTCCATGGTCGCCCCTTCCCTCCTCCCTTAGCCTTCCCCCATCGCCCAAACCTCTACCCCGGCCAAGGGTGAGCAAACCCTTTTTCTCTTTGCCAGCGCGCCCGTGCGCAGCTGCGTACCCACCTTCCGTGCGACCGTGCGACCTACAGTGAATGTATGATGGACGCGTGCGCATGTGTAGGTTGTGCCCTTGAAAGCAAGAGTAAGCGTATTGTCACGCCTCCGCGAGAGTAGCAATCAGCCCTAGTACAAGTTCTTGCACTACTTTTAGAAAAGAAATAGGAAAAATGGGGATTTCGAAGCCTTTTTTAATGGGACAGCCCTAAAATTGGACTATTATCAGTAGCTTGTACGTACTCTTTCAAAATATCGACAAGCCAATGGTCCTGATAAATCCATGTTTACTAAACTATCAGAGCAATAAACAGTATTAAAATTCATGGCTTATGCATCAATTGTATAAGGCAGGGTAATGTTCAAACTATGCCAGAACAGTTGTTATTTACAATGAAGTAAACTGTCTTATAAGAAAATGTAGGAGATGATTAAAAGCTAGGAGCAATTTTTAAACCTCCATTAGTTACAAATCAACCCTACTGAGATAAATACGGCCGCAATTGCACTGGTGACATTTGGGTGCTAGAGACCGACGAATTATGGGCTATGGCATACCACTGCACGCATCGTGAACAATCCGATGAAATTCTTAATAAGGGGAGAATTTTTTGATAACCTACATTAGCATTAACACAATCGCGTCTCAAATCATTTATTCTTTCGCTCAAACTCAAGTTGCAATTTATTTGTAGCAAAAAATAAGTTCTGTTTCCTAAATGTTTTCAAGCCCAATGGAAAAAAAACGCCGAACTTTATGCTCCTAGACTACTTTTAAAACAAAGCCTTTTATTTCACTGAAATGGAATAAAATACATTAAACCTGCATGAGGGAGTGGACGCTCTATCAGCACTTGTACAACTTTCATGAAGGGCACATTCCGAGGCTTACATATTGCTTCAGCTGCCTGGTATCGGCTATGCGGCCGGAGACATGATGAGTGACTTTGAAATTGCTCACTCACAAACGTCAAAGCTAAAGGTTTAGCTGTCATCGTTGACTATCGTTGAATTATAATTCGTCTAATTTTTTTTTGCATCACTATTTTGTCGTTAGCTGGAGTCCATTTTGTCG